AAATAAAGAAAGAAAGAAAGAAAGAAAGAAAGAAAGAAAGAAAGAAAGAAAGAAAGAAAGAAAGAAAGGAAGGAAGGAAGGAAGGAAGGAAGAATCTATTCTAGAACTGGCTCTGTAGCCTCATGTTTAAGGGAGCAGGATTCCACAAGGCTGACAGCTATTTGAATCCCAGTCCCAGCAGCTTAAAAAACATACTGGAACATGTGTGTGCACGCACAAAATTCCAATAGGTTGGAGAAATGGAGGAGAAGGAATTGCAGCATGACCACACTCCACTGGGAGGTACTTTCTCTCTCTCTCTCTCTCTCTCTCTCTCTCTCTCTCTGTGTGTGTGTGTGTGTGTGTCTGTCTGTCTGTCTGCAAGCATACAAACCCTCTGGCAATTTTAAAATAATAAAAGAAAGACAGGACCAGCATGTGTCACAGTGGTTGAGGCACTGGACTCCCACATGGCCAACTATGGTTGGAGTCCCGTACCTCTCTCTTTCTCTGGTGAGTACACATGCCCTATAGCAAACTAAAAATAATAATAATAAATAAAGTAAATACTTTTAAAAATATAAATAAAAATTTTTAAAAAATCATCTATTCCAATCCAACCCCTCTCTTTACAGAGGAGGAGATAGCTATCTAGTACGAGGAGTAACATGGTCACGGTCACAGCTTCCTTCATCCTGACAGGTATGGACATGTTTATGCCTGTGTGTGTACTTGTGTATGCGTATGGCGTAGGCAGGTAGGTCAGGGGCAACTGAGATTGTGCTTAGTCAGACATACCACTCTGTGTTGTTGACTGCATCCCCAAAACCTGGTGTGTCCACAATGGTGAGCCGCAGTCTCACACCCTTCTCTTCTATGTCCACTGCGTGCTTAGTGATCTCCACGGTTTGCATGATCCTCTCTGGAGAAGGGGGAAACTGAGGCCAGGGCAAGGGCAGGGACCTGCCCAGTCAGGACAAACCACCCACCCCAGCCAGCTTTGCTACCCAGACTGCCTCCTCCACACTGCCCCCCTTCCCACCCCCAAGCTGCTTGGGGGCCTGTTCTCTGGGAACCAGCAAGGAGTACATTTCCCAACACAGGAAATGCCGGTGGCTGTTGGCTCTGGCCCCAGTCTCTTTGCTCCCTGCTTTTTTCTTGAATTCCTGGAATCCTTTGGGGGTCAGAGACTCATTCAGAGAGCAAAATGCTGGTCCCTGCCTTGCCTCAGCACCCAAATCTTTGGGGAGCTGGCTGGTGGATTGCCAGGCCAGCTAGGCTATGGAGAAAAGCCACCCTCTCTCTAGGAAGCCATGGTTTCCTACATGCTGGGGAGGACCCCATCCTTCAGAGTCTGGATTGAGGTTAATTTCTCAAAACAGGTCTACCTGCCTGTCTTCCTGGGCTTCTCCTTTCCTTACCTTCAGCGCTGAGGAGTTTCCGGTCCCGGTATAGATCAGTGAGGAACAGGCTATTGACAAGCGTGGATTTACCCAGGCCAGACTCTCCTAACAGTAGAGAGAACAGAGGCACAAATCAGAAGGTAAGGCCCATAGCCAAGAGGCAGCTCTACTGGATCAAGGTGCAGGGGAACTTCTTTCTTATTTAATTGGGACTAGACACTAGACTGACCAAACTATGGTATTTTAGAGCTGGAAGGAAACAGAGATATAGGCTTGTTCTCAGGTGAATAAAGTAAAAAAGAGAGCAGAAGATTGCCCAAGGTCACACAGAAAGAGGCAATAACTAGAAACTGTTGGTCCTTTGCACCACTTCACCCCACCCGCACACCCCAAAACACACACAGTCTTTCAGTCACCAATGGCTCCTGGCTGTTTTGCGAAAAGACCCAGCCACTTGCTGCTTTATTCCTGCCTATACCCCTTTCCGACATATACAAACAGCATCCCCACCTGAAACACCCCCTACCCCACCCAGCTCTCCCCCTTCTCTACCTGCCACCATGAGGGTAAAGTCAAAGCCTTTCTTCACAGACTTGCGGTGGACTTGGTTGGGGAGCGTGGCAAAGCCCACATACTCCTTGTCATCCTAGGGGACAAGAAGGCAGAATGCGTCAGAGAGAGGCACAGGGGCCCTAGCACCCACCAGTCTTCTCTCTCCCTCCTAGGTTTCTGCTCCAGCCTAAAAGGAGCAGTGCAGACTGAATTCCCAGCTGAGGCCCTCTGGGCTCCGGACTGACACTGGTAGTTTCCAGTGTCCTTGAGGGCAGACACCGCAGAGCTGGAGCTGACACACAACAGAGAGACTCCAAAGACACACACACACACCACTGAGAGCAGCTCTGCTCCCTCCCAGGGCCTTCCTGTACCAGCCCCCCTGAAAGGCAGAGCTGGAGGCTCTACCTCAGAGGAATCATAAGGGTCGAGCTTGCCCCATGGGCTGCGGGGCCGGGCGGAGGGGCTGAGAGGGGCCGGGGCACAGAAGTACTGCTGGCTGTCAGAGGACTGGGGCCACGAGGGGGGTCTGAATTCCAGGTCATCATCACAGACGTCCGGGGCCTGGGGCCTGGGCACCCAGGTCTTAGCCTCTGGTGGGTGGCAGCTCTCGCTTCCCGGGAAATCCTTCACGAACTTGCTCAGTTCTGCATCATCCGTGGTGTCCTCCAGGAAACGTTTGATCTGGGGGATGGCGGGGTGGAGCAGGTGGGAGGTGGCAGGAAGGGAGCCAGAGGGGAGAATCAGGAAGATGGTGGAAAACAGGAGAAGGCAGAGGGAGAGAAGGGAAAGCACGTGTGGTTAGAAGGGAAAGAAACTGAGGCCAAGCCAGAGGACGTGCTCACCACCTCCCTCATCTGCTCACAAGCCTCCTCATCTAAGAGGCCAGGAAGGGCAAGGGCCAGGAGCCCCAGGCAGCCCTGAAAGCCCTGGCCACTATTCTCAGGAACCAAGGTGCTCCAGTCCTATTCTCCCTCATGCACGTGTTTGCTGAGGCTGCCCTTCCTGAGGGTCTGCCTAGCCAGGGGCCAGGGACCAGGGGCAGCCCCCAAAGTCAGGATGTCAAACCAAATAAGAGGGAGCAGACAGATGCATTAGACCCTGGAGGACAGTGTGGTTTCAGGACTCAAGGGAGAGTGCAGAGAGTCAGAATGGGCAGGCACAGCAGAGAAGTAGGGAGGGCAGAAGGGAGCTGGGTACAGTATCTACTGTGAGAACTCACTGCCCAGGGTTCCTGCCCAGAGCTCAGTACAGCTAACCCTATCCCTCACACCAGACGTGGAGCCACACCGGATCTGACCCCAGGCCCTAGCCCATAGATGCTGAGTGTGGTGGAGGAGAGCCCCAAGGGCCCAGGTGAGCGAGGATGGGAAGACATCGGCTGTAGAAGAGAAACAGATGGCTAGGCCTTCAGAGCTGCTGGCAGCCCCAACCGAGGGACACATGGAGGAGCATCGCTCTGTGGCCCCTCTCCTCACTCTGCCTGAAGAAAGAAGTGCAGGAGGGGGTCTGGCCTAAACCTGAACCCCCAGAATGTGGTAGGCAAAGTGGATTGGCTCTTTGGGAGAAGTCTGCTCCACCCCATCCCGAATTTGGAAGAGGTGCTATTTCTCCCCATTCTTGCCTTCAATTCTAGACCCCAAAGCTTCCCCTCTCTGTTGGGGTTCAGCCTTCTTTGTGGGGTGCCTGGTAGTGCTGGGCTCATCTCTGCCTCACAATACCCATGTGCCACCTCCAGACAATGGACAAGGGCCAGCTGCAGAGACTGACTCACCCACTGGGGATTGGCCAAGACAGTGGGGCTACCCTGGACCACTAAGGAGTCCTAGCCAGGATGGGGGAGATGAGGTGGCTACGGTCTTCCTGCATATCCCCATTTTACAAAGGTAAAAATTGAAGGAAGCAGACATGCACTCTGCCAGTTTATGCTAGAGGAAAAGGACTGAAATAGGGGGGTCAGCATCCTCTGAGAGCTACTTTCAGGCTGTCTCCTCTCAAGCCCTCACACCTGCTTACGGCCAGAGTGTGCAAGGCTCACCTGGACAGACCGAGGGCAAGAAGGTCTTTAGCTTAAAAATGGAACTAGCATACAGGGGCCTAGTGACCAGCAAAGATTGTTCTGAGGTTTTCTCAACCGTAAAATTTGTGAGGTCCACTGGGGTGACCACACACTCCAGTTTAAGCTTGTTGTCCTAGCATAATCACTTACTGTGCTCGCTCGCTTTCACTCTCAGAAGTGTCCCAGCTTGGACAATTAATTATCGTCCAAGCAATGGGGCTAGGAGGCAGCAAATCCTGTTGTCTGGCAGCTAATGAGTCTGGGGAATTCCAGGACACCCCGCCTCTCCACACAACCTCACAGTGACCCAACAGTTGGTCTAAGGGTCAGGCTAAGGGTGGGAGAGATAGGATTATGATCCGCCTGGTGTTCCCAGGGGCACTAAGTGGAGGGAGAGCAAGTGAAAGGGGAAGGGAGGGCACGGGTGGAAACTCCTAGCTCCCATAATCTTCCAGCAGCGCCACCAGGATCCCACCACCATCCTCCGCTCTACCAGTTCTGACTGCATCAGCATAGAGATGGCCATGGGTCCTCTAGACAGGAAGTCTGGACACCAGAGTCCTCACCCCGTCTGTCCATCCCCACCCGCAGTTCTGCCAATGACCAAGTCATTTTCTGACTTTAGCCCCAATCCAGCCAAGGTAGGGGGAGAAGACAGGCTAGGTCCTCCCATCTCCCAGAGCAGCATCTTACCCCAGTTTCAGTCCCGTCCTCAGGGACAGAATTCCCTTGCCATCCCAGTGACCGGTCCATGCCCCACACTCCAGACTCCCTGTCAGCAAGCTCTGGGTCTAATTTTATCTCCTAGGCAGAGTCCCTCACACATAGAAACAGTCTTGTCTTGATGCTCTTGTCATCTGGCTTCCTGGCTTGCTCCTTTCCCTTTCTCTTTGACCCCCCTCTGTCTCTGGCACGGGCCAAAAAGCCTGTGGAATGTCCCCCCCCTCCCCTTGGCTCCTACCCTCCAAGGACAGCTCAGCTGCAGCAGGATCACTCAATCCCTCTGCAGTCCCCTCCTCCTCTGATTGGTTGCCCTGCTACGCCTCCCACTGCCTACCCTGGTGGGCATAGCACCCAAGTCTATCTGCAGCACAGGCTCTTTATCCACTTGGTCTCTCTTGTTAACCCCAAGGACACTGAGGCCTCCCCAAGGACTATCAACTGTCCCCACGGTGAACTGTACAACAGCACATGGGCACAGCCCTAGGAGACCCATTTCCGAAGGATTCCAGTTCCCCTATCTTTCCATTTTGCCTTAACTTTAAGCAGTGCTGCAGCAGGGTGGGATGTCCTATAATCCCATGGATACAGGCTCTCATTCCAATAGCCCCACACTTCATCCCAAGGGTCCCTTTGTTTTCTCCCAAGGAAGAAACCCACTGTCCTTGGAGATGTAGATTTTCATGCAGAGAACCCTAGCCATAGAAGGGACTTTGCTTCAGGAACTCCTCCCACCTAGGATAACTAACCTCTGACTCATGGGACCTGTATCAATTCCTCACCCCACCGCTTCAATTGTCAGTGGGGGAGCTGCAAGCACTAGGTCTCAGGGGCATGGGTTCAAGCAAGGGAAGGCTAACATCCCAGAGGCTTCAGGGCCGCCACTTAGGTGGGAGACAAATTGAGTGGTCTGACTTAATGGAGCACAGGAAGAGCATTCAACTAGGAGTCGGGAGACTGGCTGAGCCAGAAACACCCTTTGTGAATCTGAACAGTGTTGTAATTTCAGGACCTTCAAGTCCAATTATGAATGACGTTCTTGCCCCCCAGGAAGGCTACAGGACAGAAAGCCCTCCTAGATGACAGATAACCTCAAGTGGCTTTGAACCTGAGGAGACAAAGTGCAACTTAAGTCATAGGATGGTTATTAATTTTGGCCCCTCTTTTCACATGCAAATTTAACACTTCCCACCCCACATAGGCCTCCTGGGCCCATGAAGTCTCCTCATTGATTTTCAATGCAGCTGGGACACTGACCTCCTTTGACAAGGAGACCCTCACAGAGGAGTCTGACCTAGCATGAACCAGTCAGCCTGAGGACTTGGCTGGCTTGAGGGCAGAAGCCAGGAGCTGGGAACTTGGTGGTGGTGGGGTGTCTCAGCGAGCAGGGCAGCCTCAGCCAGGCTGAAAACACGAAGACCTCAGCTGAACTTAGTGTGTGGCAGAAAAAGCCCCTCTGGCTCCTACTGGGCTTGGCACTGGGACAATCAGTGCTTCCCCAGGCTTCCATCCCTGGAACACTCAGTCTGTCCATCCCCAACTGGGGGGCAGGACCACTTGGCCTCTCCCAGGAACCCCCTTTAGGAAGGTCGCAGGGTCACGAAGACTTCCTGGCCAAGACTTGGGCCTTTGCCTGGACACAGCTTGAGAGACAAGAGCCCAAAAGGGTGGCCTTTCCAGACCTGAAAGCTTCTGGTTCCACGGGGTGGGAGTACCCTTCTGCAGGCTGCTTACAGCCAATATCCTGTCCCACAGGCTGGTCATGGGTCACTTCCTGCTGTAAACCGTGCAGAGGGCAAAGGCTGGGGGCTTCCAGACTGGCAGGAGAGGATGGCTGTGGCCTGAAGGCCCTGACTCCCGCACACTGTGTTTGTGGCCAGCTCTGGCAATAACCGCAGGAGAAAAAGCTGGTACCCTCATCAGGCTAGCATCAAAACTTCCTACCCAGGGGCCTCCAGGGAGGCTGGCTGAGGTTACCCTTGCTCTTCCTACTACAGGCAGGTGGCAGGAATGAGTCTCCCCCAGCCCCGACGCACTGCAGGGGGTGGGGGTTGGGGGGTAGTTGCAGCAGAAGCTTCCTTAAGGTTCCTGTCCCAAAGGCAGAGGGATATGCTGGTCCCACCGGCCAGGATGGTGCTCAGTGCTCCTTCTCTCAGGGGTCCTTTGGTAAAGGCCCAGGGGCTGCCCCTTGCCAGGCTGTGGGAAGGAGGGGTCAAGCTCTCGCTATCTCTCTTGGGGAGGCAGTCAGTGTTTGCGGGCCTCCTCTGTGTTTAGCAGAGGAAATTGCAACTGGCCCCTGCGCTCAAGGTAGATGGGTGAGGACGGGTCACTCAGGTAACGGCTGACCCAGGCAAGGGCGTGGACCCTCACCACCTCCCTCATCGCTAACGCGCTCTCCAGCCCATCATGCGCGTCTGGGCCGGCGGACCCACGGACCCACCCCCTTCGTCCGAGACCACGGGCAGCACCCCGGGGGTCAGGGCCCGTTGCTGCTCAGATCAGAGGGAGAAACTTGGGAGTGGCGACGTA